CAGAGGTGATTAACAAAGAAAAATATTTTAGGGACAAATGATGAGGATAAAGCCCAAAAGAATGCAGGACCCGTGTCGAGCAACAACTACACCATTAATTACTGCCTTGGCATCAGAAGGAAATGAACCACTGGGAGGGAATAAGCAGAGCCAGTCAAAGAATAAATAAATAAAATTTATAACAAAATTAAATCAATGTGAAGAAGTTAAACACCAACCTGAAAGTTAATTATTAACAATTTAGCTACTGATATTGATTACTTGCCTCCAAGTACTGTGTCTCAATTTGAAAGGTGCCAATCAGGCACATAGAAATTCTATTTTTTGGTGGAGTTTACACCCTGCCAGGTGCCTTTGCTCAGGTGAGCTCTGCTGTCACACACACCTGAAAGCTCCTGCAACGTGCAGGAGCTGACTCAGTTCAAAGTGGACACGTCAGAGGTTGAGCATTTGCTCCAAAACCAGGTCTGAGCTAACACACCAGTGCCAAAAATAGGTTTACTGGGCAAGAGTCCACCAAAAACATGCATAAAACAATTTATCTGTGCAAAGGGCTGCTTAAAGAGCAAACAATTTCATTGTATTCTCAACAAATAAGTATGTAAAATTACTAAACACATTTGCCAAGTTTATCTGCTAAAGTTAATATATATTTTCTGTTTTGAATGTGCCATGAACCCACAGGTTTTTATTAGAAAATCTTTGAAAACACTGTGCTAGCCAGTCCAGCCTCAGCTTCTAAATACCAAAACACAGAAAACTACCAAGGATTCCCAGTGATTTAGGTGATATATAGTTATACAGAGTATTATGGAGTTTAAATCCAGGAGTGTTCAACTAGAATTCATTTGAGTATGGAAGGACAAACTTTGCACACTTGAGTAACTTTAGCCCATGAAAAATCTAGATTGAAGAATATGAAATATGTTAACAGAAATACAGTTTCCATGTGATAAAGACCAGGAATAGCACCAAGTTCAGCTACTTACACATTTCATGGCCAATGTGCACAGACACTGCAGATAACACAAAGTGCCTGTATTTAATATAGTGTCTTTCACAGATCTTTGGGGTAAGCTATGAGACCCAAAGATTTATTTATGCCAGAAGCAGAACTGAAGAAGTAAAGAAATGTAGGTTTTAGCCTGCCACCAGTTTGTTTTTGACAAACGCACAGCACAAAGCTATGACAACCCACTCTTAGGAGGAAGGGAGCAGCTAAGACTCATAACACAGCTACTAACAAGTAAACAACGTGTGCACTCAGGAACAAGAGCATGAATTACACACTGGAAAAACAAGAGTCACAGATTACAGCTGGAGACACACTCAGAGCATAGAACCACCACGTGCTGGAAGGGGAGGCAAACCTGCTCCACCAGCTCTAAACCACATGTGACAGAGGCAGCTGCAAAGGGCAAAAGAGACAGTCATGGGGAGTTCTTCCCACCCTCTGGGGGGAATCAAGCCTAAACCTCCCCTGACACAGCTCCAGCTCTTCCCTCACTCAGGTCCTGTCCCTGCTCACCAGAGAGATCAGTGCTCTGATCTCTTCAAATGAAGCAATGCACTGATGATGCATTGGGAGGGAGGTTAAAACACAGGAATCAGCATTTGGATTTAAGAAAATGTGGATAACAGGTGAATTTATCTATAGATCTCTAGGTCAGGTAGAGCTACAACATGCTGTCCCAGGGGACGTGCAGTCAGCAGCCTGTGGTTTTGCCAGTGGAGCAGAGACAGACAGGAAAAGGAGCTGTTTGTCATATTCAGGCTAAAAAAAACCAATTCTGTTGATCTAGGGAGCTGTGCTGGCTGATCATGGACCACTGAGGGAAAAAGAGACAGCTCAGGGAAGGGCACAGAGAAAGGCAGAAGCACACACACAC